AGGGGCTCCTGGCCATACTACTAGGAGCAAGAACGCTACTAGGGGCTCCTGGCCATACTACTAGGAACAAGAACGCTACTAGGGGCTCCTGGCCATACTACTAGGAACAATGTTTGCTATTAGAAACAAAGACTGAAGGATGAAAAGCCCGGTCGCACTGCCGGGAGTTTTTCGGTCGCCCGGTCGCAGTGTGCGGACGCCGACCGGTCGGGTCCTTGTCTCCAGGCACACAGCGATTCTTGCAGCCTGAGGCGATTCGAAGGCGCTCACTGGAGAGCGCTGGAGAGCGCCATTGCTGGAGAGTTTTCGAACCGTGAAGCGAACAGCCAACCTTCTCTGTCATTCCGTTTTCGTTTTTTTGAGGAGAGGCCTATTGCCTATGAGTTTTGGCTTGCAACCTTCTCTAGCCCACGATCATGGCAGCATGAAGGTAGTCATCGCTGGGTGGCAGTTGATCACGTGTGACCATACCAAGAAAGTCGGTGGGTCTTTTGCCCTCCGACCCGGACCACGCACATGTTTGCTTTCCACTTGTTTCCACGTCATCTACACGATTTTTCATGAAGAAGGCAATATGTTCCTTGCAACGAACAGGTCTGACCTGCACCTGAACCGGAAGCGCCAGCAAGTTTTGCACCTGGATCGACCTACAATATACAGTAGGATGTGATATGGACAATAATTCTTGGTGGCAAATCGCATCAATGATACATTTACCTCAGTTCCACAAAATGCAATCCACATGGTTCCTGTCACCAGTTCCCACTTCCTTCCCAAATCCACGAGAGGTTTAAGCGTCATAATCTGCTAGATCGGATGCTGCATGTTCCCGGACATCAATCATACCAAGTGCACCGAGTCTTCGCAGACTTGGTCAAAAGCGCACCGGGTGGGCCCGGTGGACCACCTCTTGACCGAGCGGCGGCTCACGTCTAAGGTACCATCTTTGTGATCCGGTGTCCTGGGGCCGCACAGCGCAGGGAGGGAGGGCACGCGGCGCGCCCGGAACCCGGGGGTTTTAGGCCGGGAGACTGAAGTCTCACCTCGTCTGATTTGGTGGTTATTGAGAGGTTGGATGGTTCCGGTATCTCCAAACAAAGACTTCTTCAAGCAGCACTTGTGTTGCAACAAACTCCATGGAGACATCTTCTATGGTCTAGGGCTTACATCTTACTTTACTTGATCCTGTTTAGAGCTTCTGGATGCTCTTTAGATCGAAGCAATGATCTACTTTGAGCCGTTGCCGTTACTTCTACGTAAGACGTGGATTCTGTGGAGGACAAATATGTCAGGTACAACCTCCACATACCTCCACACCTCCGCTGCAGAGTGTTCATGTCGGACCACCCAGGCCTTTGGATGTATCTGGACGTCCCTGACCAAACCACAAGACTTTTTGCACAAACCTGCCGGTCTGAAACCAGTAAAGGACACAACGGACATTTCTTGAGATGCCTTCTCTATAGAGGGATTTCACTTTGCTCTACAAATGGCGCGACGAAGCTCGAGAGCTTCGTTTGGGCGTCTTCTGGTCCTCGGACCCCTGGGCGCCCGTGCTCACAGGGCTGCAGGCAGTCGGGTGGCGGCTCAAACTGCGCGAGACCGCCCTGCCTGGGAGAGCAGCCGAGGTCCGGTCGTTTTGCACTTGAAGAGGTGGGCATGTTCCTAGTAGCGTTCTTGTTACTAGTAGTAAGGCCAGGAGCCCCTTACTCATAGCGTCCGATGGCTCCGTTCGAGTCGCGATGTTGCTCCTGTCGTAGCGTCCATTCGTAGCTACAATGCTACAAAAATCATTTTAGAAAAGTGTGTGTATGTTTATATTTCTGTCTATAGGGGGGCCACTGTACCACCTCGCCCCGAGCTCCACCGGCGAGACTTTGACAATTGAGTCGCAGAAGCACGGGTCTTAGCTGTTAGCTGGTCTGGTCGGGCCTTTCTTTCCATCACTCGGCTAAAAGCATATCGGCGATCTGAGTAGGTTGATTTGCAGAGACCCTGGGTGGACATCGAATTCTGCACCTCGAGTCGGTTGGACCCGTTGGAGTCGAAACCGAGCGAACCAAGCGCCGCGAACAGAGCGCTGGAACTGCTCGACGTAACTGGACTGACGCGTGGAAGCTGGTGGAGCTGCTCCGTCTTGGGAAGCAAGTGTAGTATGCCTGGATGTTGCATACAGAAACTGAACTTCTTTAGGATCATGCCAGAAAGAAAGCACCCTGGAGACCAGGGAAGACTGACTTCAAGGGGCTTTCCTAGAAAATCTTCGCTGGGATTCAGCTGTGTAAGCCCTGATCGTTAGAACATCGTCCTGAAATTCGATTGGAAAACCTTCGACATAAATACAATACATATAAGTTATAACTTAACATACCTGGACCCTCCAAGGGGTGTCCAATGGACTACCCCACACTACCTATAGGCTTCCATTGAGCACCCCTTGGAGGGTCCTGGTATTATTAATATATTAATAGTTGATATAATAGTTGTTCCACACCAGGGTCTTGGATGTTTGGTCTGGATCAAATGTAACACATATCAGTACACAACACAAATCTGTGATGGCAACATGACATATCGGGACCTGTTAACATGCTTAGGTTTCTGCATCGTCATCACAACCATTGAACACTGTTCAAACAACAGCCAGTATACAATATGGAGTTCCCTGCAACCTTGTTCACAATGGACACAACATATGTGGGTTGATGTGTTGATGGCCCAAATCCAGGCCACGAGCCAAACCCAAACATCATCAAAACCATCAAACACCTAAAACCCTGGCCAAAAATAGCAAGTAAGTTCTTCTACAGTACATGCTGCATCACCCATCCCTTCTTCGAATCATGTTTGCTCTCCCAGCGGCATCAAGCAGCGCCGTAAGCCAGTGTTGCCTGGCACGCGGACAGCGCGGCGCCCGTGCGTGCGGTGTCGTCGCGGTCGTCTCGGTCCGGGCGGATCGCCGCTAAAGCCATGAGTCATCCCTCCCAGCCATGATCCACTTGGCCGTTGTTGAAACATCGGAGAACAAACCAAAACATCACATCCACTTCATTCACATTGAAGCTGACGAGCTCTGCCGATGGCAACACACACACACACCAAATCATACCACTTTAGCTCAAGTAGTTCACATTTCCATACATTTCCCACATTGAAGGCAAGCCAGATTGGATACGTCCGCCATTCCACATCCAAGTGCAAAGGAAAAGATCAACGTCGCCTTTTCGAAGCCTAGATCCAGTCTGACCAGTCTGTGTTGATGAGACAAGCGCACGTGGTGGTTCCACGGATGATGAGCCAACAAAAGGTGTCTTCCGCTTCCTTGGATGAGGGATCTTCAACGCGCAAATCGAGGTGATGGACTTGCCTCAAAGCTAACTGATGACTCAGCCAAATGATGATATCTCCGGAGGGAAATCAAATACGATTGGAACGACAGGAGGCTGAGGCTGTGCTCAGGCCAGCATGGTTCCGACGAGGAATGAGAAAGTGAACTTTGCGGCAAGGTTTTGGTGCTTTGTACCTTTCACCCTCACCAACATTCACACATTTGAATCAGAGTGTTACAGCAGCATTTGCAGAACAATGGTCCGAACTTCTCTTGAACTACTGTATATAGCGGGTTTCTAGCTGGATTTTCCCCAAGCCATAAACAAAGGGTCTTTTCAACTCCGGACCTGTATACCCCGGCGGCCAGTCCACCCAGGCGGAGCCACGACACAGTCTGCAGCAAGGTCCTATAGTAGAAAATAGAATATTGTAAACTTGTGCCCACAAAATCGTGTCCAAAATCCTCCTAGCAATGAAACAAGAACACTTGCAACATCTTGCAACATGTCTTACAACATTTAGTAAAGTTAATAAGCCAAGTTGGAGAATCGATGAACACCTTCTCAGCACTCTGCCTCCGACCGGTTTGAGCGGATCCTTGCACTTCACCGTGCACTTGCACTCCTGCACAGCTGAATGAGTGTAGCTACCTAGAGTATCAGCACCATCACAAAATTGGGCATGGATCAAAAAATCATCCAGGAACCCACAGGTTGCAAAGTACTTTTTCTTCTACCCGTGGGGTTGGATGGTACTCTCCAAAGGGAGCCACCTTTTTGCAGACTTGGGGAAACCCAGAAGCCAGAAACCAGCCACTACATCCTAGCTTAATTCACCTGGAATCACCATGATGGTGGGGTCTTTCCAACCAATTTCGGGATGTCCTTGACACCGATGAGAGTGGGATCCGACCCATATAGGTTTGGCGGCAGGATGCAGTTGAGCACTGAGCTCACAGAAAGGCTGCGGATCATATAGGTCAACATCGTTGAGCTCAACACACACACACATATGAAATCTAAGTTATGGATACAGCATGTTTTCTATTGTTTTCTTAAGCCCACACTCGGAGTCCGATACTTCATGAGAACCAGCTCACCGGTGTAGAATCGAAACTCCACATCCCAAACCCACCTTGCCCACATAGAATTTCGTTCTGTGCTCGTGTCCAATCTATGTGCTCGTGTCATAGAAAGCATCCCAGATCCATCAATCACACAGGTGAAACCCCTGAGGCAACATGAGGCAACACAAGTCCTTACCTTTGTCTCAGCATAAGGGACAACCTGTCGAACTGTCTGTGACCGCCCATGTTCTTGAGCAACCGAATCTCACACTGATGTCTTTGGATGCAAAGCTCTGGCGCACCAAACCCAGCGGCGCTTCCCGTGCGGGGTACCATCCGGAAGCGCTGTGGGTCAAAACCGGGTGACCCTGGTGGGCCACTGAGCATGAAAAAAGCTGGAACTAGCAAACATGGTCAAGCTATCAGGTGTAGGGGCTCCAGGTTTTTGATTGGACACCATAGAGTGACATGACAGGGACATCAGCAAAAAGAGTACGTAGATATTCAGTGGATCACATCATACTCTCACAATCTCTTTGGTTGTCCCGGTGTCCCCTATTGTTTTCTCAGTCGCGACAAGTCATGGGCAACGAGTCTTCCAAACCACCTGGTTCCTCAAACGTACTTGGGAGAACCATCTCCGACTGCGTAGGGTCATCTTCCGCCGTCTTCTTTGGTACCTTTTTTGCATGGCTCCTCACATGAGCGACACTGAGATATACCTAGATCTTCCAACTGTGACAAATTTCTGCCTTCTGGCTGGATTTCTGGATGAAAAGGCACACATTTTGCATCATTTTGCACAGTTGGAAGATCTAGGTATGGCACAATATGTCATATTTATACACCCTTTTCACTTTACGCAGCTGGACGTCCGTGGGCCGGCGCTCAGTCCTCATCCGGCCGGCAGTTGTCGCAATTCTCGTGCTCCAGGTCGCTGTTCTGGCCGCGGTGTGGGTGGCTGCTGGGTTTGTTAGGAGGGCTGGGTGCAACAAACGAGCATCAAAAAAGGGGGGTCCAAAAAGACCAGGTGGCAGAGTGTATCTACATCAGGTGGCAGTGTCAACCCACTTTGACCGTCCAAACGCGCCAAATTTCGGACATCCCTTTACAAAGGTCATGTTAATTTACCACTTATGGGTGGGAGATCAGTCCATCAGTATGCAATGTACACCGTACAAGACATCCAAAAGGTCGCTTCCCCGGTATGTTGTCAATGTCAGCCATCCAAAATTACGGTACTTACACATCGGCGGGCAACAAGATCGACTGCCCAAATAGGCTGATCATGGCTGATCCAAGTGGATCATGTGAATATGGCTTCAATTCCGATCCAGCGATCAGCACTGCTCCACCATCGTCCACCCATCGTCCCACCAATCATCCGATCCATCTTGGCTCGCTTGGGTCGTTCCCACCGGCGGGCGATGGACTTGGACGACCGAACCTATGCGCCGCGCTGCGGCGCCCGTCGACTGCGGCCGTCTGAAACACTCCCGGTCGGTTGGCCTATGCACCAATTGCCGGCACGTGGCCCCGCTAGGCCCAATGGCACGTGGAAGAGCTCATTAACCAAAGTGTTTTACAGAGCAATTCCCGTGTCTATTTGGATGTGGGTCATGGCACGAGGGGACCAGTAGACTACTAGGGAGGTGAACTTAACAGGGTTTACAGCTCCGAGTTTTGACCCAAAACCATTTGGTTGGGGAACAGTTCTACTTGGCCCATACAGCAGGGACCTGACAAATGTGCCGAGGACAGTGCCAAGCCAAGCCAAGAAGCTTTCCTGGTTGGTAGTTTCAACTCACTTGAAGAATATAGTCAGTGGTTGCAATCATCCCAAGTAGAGGTTACACATAAATGAACTGACAATATCTGAAACCACCAACCATCGCTCTTAGTTTGGAGGCCATTGCTTCTAGGTTGGAGGGCAGAGTGGCCATCCCCGTGCCGCCTGCGCGAAGATGTTCTCGCAGGTGGGAGTGCAAGTGAAGGCTGGGCTGTTCTGCGCCGAGCGCCGAGCGCAGCGGTCGCACTGACCGGTAGGGTCTGAAGTTCGGCGAGCGTATTGCGCGTATTGGAGTATCAGTCCTTACAAAGGCTATCTTAGTGAAGTCATGGGAGCTATAAGTGGTCAAGCAGCTGGGTGGAAAATGAGGCTGGCCCACTTTTGGCTTCTGACCCACAGTCACTTGCATTGGGGCATCGGTTCAAGGTGATGTCAAAAGTGTTCCCAGCCTGTCCGCTCGAAGTGGTTCACTCCATTTGGGGGGCACGTCCCTCAGTTAGTAGCAAAACCCATCCTCCCAAAAGGGTTAAAGTTAAAGGTTCTCCACTATTTCCTGGGTAGTTTTTTCCATGACGAAGCTAAACACGGAGCCCCCAACTCCACTCAAGTTAAACAGACTCGTTGACCTTTTGAAGGACAAAACTCGCTGACTACCCTCTATAGATTTGGCGCAGCTTTGTGCATATTACTGTGTTACTAGCTTCACCAAGTCTTTCGGCAGCTTGTTTAACACTGCAACCGAACAACAAAGAGGATGATGAAAGAAAGTCGTGATCTACATCTTCATGTGTGAATCATCCATCAGTCAAACGGTATTTGCAGCAAGTAACTGTCCTTTTGCAAAGAACTTCTGTTCCAGTCGGTTCTTAGCACATCGAGGTGCTGCGGTCATTTGCCACCATCGGTGCCACCAAAACCATGGTCCTGTGGTCCCGTGCCACCTATGCGACCAACGTCAGTGCCCCCCAAAACCATGTCCAACATGGCACAAAATCAAAACTGTCGCCCCCCCCAAAACGGTCGGTGCCTATGTACCAACGTCGGTGCCATCATTCGATGGCACCGGGTGTCCAACTGTCGGATTCAAGACCGACTGGACATCGGTGACCCCAAACGGGGCCGTGGACAACCTGAGTCCATGAAGCGGACTTGCCAACGCCTGAGGTGTCACTTACTCACCATCTGCTGCCACCAGGCGTAGAAGTCTAGGTCTGGAATTCGTTGGAGTTCTCAAATGCCCCAAACAAATCGCTGAGATATGCTGAGATCGTTTTCTGATGGGTCCTCCTTGCATTCCAAACGCATCAAACAGCACACCCTTTCACCGCACCCGACGTCAAACGTGCGTTGTCGCCAGTGCCGGTGCCAACCTCGAGCACTTCACCGTTGGGGAATAACGGCCTCGGACGGCGCTATCCGTCTGACCGAGTGTGGGTGGCACTGTTGTCAGCACCGCTTCACGTCCGAGTTTTTTAGGTTCAACAATATGCATACTACACAAGTGTGAACATTTTTTCCGCAGCGGGGGCACGTGGGCGAGCTACTGTGCGGTTTTGGGTTGTTGCCAGTCCTGCAAGAGGAGCGGGTCGATTAAAGCGGTTGATGGATTAGATCTGTGTGACACCACTTACGGAAACTACATGAAACTGCATCATTGAAACTACATGTGAAACTATGGGAACGCCAACTCGCCGTGGCCGGCAGTCTGCATGGTCGGTGGTTCGTTGGTTTTGGGATCCCTGTCTCACAACCATCGACCTAAAATGTCGGGCATACAACAACAGCAACAACAACAACTACTACTACCACCTCCGTGAAAAACTGCTAAGTCTATAATATATAAGCTTACCTAAACGTCCATGACCCCAAGTTCACCACCAGGCCGGCGACCGAGCCCACCGACCTGCCACCCAAGGCGCACGAAGGCTCCAGCGACCGGAGCAGCGCAAGCGTCGGGCGTCCAAGCCGCCTGGATATCCTCATGTCCCTGGTGCGGCCGTGCCGTGCGGCCGTGCCGTGCGGCCGTGCGGCCGTGCCGGACATGCGGGAGACATGAGTTCGCGCAGAACACAGATCTGTTCGCGCAGGAAATGACCGAGAAAGCGCTCATGAGGCAGTCATTTACCCGATGTGTTCCAATGTCTCTCACATGGAGTCTATCTTTTCTGGAGGACTTTTTGGGAGGTCCTTTCGCGCTGGGCCCAACCGTCTCTTCGCTTCGGCTGTTGGCCGTCGTCGTCTTCGGCCTCTGCGCGGCAATTCTCCAAGGGCATTCCAAAGCCTTTGCTCCTGGAAGAAGGAACAGGGAAGGCTATTTGTAGATTTTAGATCTGCACGTTACGCCCAAAGTAAATAGGTCCATCCCGAAACCTGAATAAACATGAAGTCTTTCAAAGTTGTCTTTGGAGGCCATCACTAGTAGGTTGGAGGCCATGGCTAGTAGGTTATGCCCATGCCGAAACGTTAATAAAAAGAAAGCTGTCTTTCAAAGTTGCCTTTGACAGGCAGAAGTTTGAGTCACTTCTTGCTCTGACTCTGAACAGTTTCTTATGGTCACTTAATAAGATGGTCAAGTTAAAGAACGTAGTTGCTGTAGATGCAAATAACTATATGTATAGTATTTGTACTTTCCTTTCCTATTTCCTATCTAGAGGGTTAAACGTCAACACTACATCCATCCAGGTAGACACCTAGGGATTTGGCGGGTAGGAGCGACCATATCTGCAGCCCCTTTGCCCGTCTCATCCAGGCTTTCTGACCCGCGTCACACTCCCGAAAACGATCCTTCAAGAGGCACGATCCCCAGTTTTATACACAATCTCCACAAGAGGAAACATCTAGTTGGGCACCTTTGAGGCAAAGATGACGCAACATTCCCGGCCCCATTTGGACGGGGTTTGGCCTCCAACAGCAGGGCTTGAGACCGTTCTCGGTCTGCTCTTGCATCTGGAGGCACCTGGGTATGGTTGGGACGCCATCACTGGTGACACAGCATCCGACGCATCCTATCAAATCCAATCCATGATGACTTAGATACAAGGCTCACCCACTGCACTACTAGACTCCTTCCCAACCACAACCTCTCCATCTTTGCATTTTCCCTAGTGGTGAGGTTTCACATGTAGGCTGTAGGCATTGCTAATATGTTTGACATCATTTACCTGACAGTGCTTCTTGCCGAACGGCCAAGTGCACTCCCCAAAGAAAACCCTTTGGACATCCAGTCAGCAAATATGGACAAACACACACATGGACTAGTTGATTCAAGTTTTCTCTTCGGCTACAACAACTAATATCCTATATCATCCTATATCTAATAGGTAAACAGACTTAAATCGCTCAACATCGCACAACCCGATACCTACCAAAACATCTTGCACGACATCTGCTGTAGGGTAACTATGCAAAGACTATTGTTTCTTTCCAACTTCCACACCACCTTTTGCAAAGGATCCCTTCGTGCGCCTCAACAAGCCCCTCCAAGATAAAAAGTAACAAAAACAACAACAAGGCACCTAAATCTCCCAGGGGTCCAGTGCAAGCGTGTGGAGTTCATCTATGCATATCTCTTCGATCTTACGTCTCCGCCTGTTTCTCTTCTTTTGGGTGACAGGTGTGTTTCCACCACCTCCACGGCAGCGATATCTATCACCAAAAGAACTGCATTCTCATTCCTCTGGTCCAGGCAAGAACATGGTTTCACGTCCTTTCGGGCCCCCCCGTACTCGTATGACCGGTTTCACGCTTCGCGCATCTCCGGAGGAACCTCTTGCTCCGCGAACGTCGTGGATCGGATGGGGACGAAGGCCCAGCGCTCAGCCTGGGCACTCATTTCGGTAGAAGGCCTTCTTGCACTTGCCCGTCTGCAGGGCCGTATTCGCCACCTGCGCCACCGTGGGCTTTCGGATGGGCGTTCGGATGTACACACTGTATGTTAAAGGCAGACCGAGCTTTTGGTGACTCATGCCAATTCCTTGGTGAGTAAAAGCCGAGCCGGTGGGTGTCCCATGATTCTCAGCAATGACCTTTCAAATCCTTCTAAAAAGCAAGAGAGTCGAGTCCACTAACTTCAACATCTTGGCTCAATTGAGCTGCTTCTTTTGTCGATGCCGGGAATCATCCTTACATCTATCTCAGCGGAAGAACGCGACTGCGAGCTAAAGGTATTGTGTTGATAATTTTATCTTTCTGAGGTGTTTCAACGTACCGAGAAACAGCCAAGTAACTCTGATCGCGCACTCGCTCCTTTGTTGATCAAACGAGTATGTATGTTAAGTTGCTTGAGTTTAGTGGTTTTGCTCGCAAGAAGTGTTTTGCACCAATGTTATTTGGAAAAAATGAAAGAAGTGTTTTGGTGTTTCCGTGGCCAAGTCTTAAAACACTTGCACAACCAACAACCATTCGACCCTTCTTCTCACCCTCAATACCCTGAAACACTACAGCCATCAGTCACAAATTCCCAAAGCGCAAGCACCAAATGCCGTTTTTTTAACAAAAAATGCAAGCAGTCTCACTGATCCAAAGATCAGCTCTTCTTGAACAGCTTTCGCAGGTCTTCAAACAAACTTCCTACAAAGTGTTTACAAAGTTTTGGATCTTTACAACAATTTGACAAAGTTTTGGAATTACAATTTTTTACCGAGTTTTTGCATTACAAAGTTTTAACAACGTCTACAAAGTTTAAAGATAGAAATAACAAACTTCACAAAGTTTTGGAAACTTACAGTACATTGAATTTTACAAAACTTTGGAACTACGAAGTTTTTACAAAGTATTGAACCTTTAGATATCTGAACAAAGCTTTGGACATTTATCAAGCTTTGAACAAGTTTTGGAATTTTACAAAGTTGTTACCAAGTTATTGAGTTTGAAAGTTTTTACAAAGCTTTTACAAAAGTTTTTGATGCTTACAAACTTTCTACAAAGTTTCGTTTTTTCAATCTGTGTCAAAACTTTGTAAACTTTATTATTTGAAAACTTTGCAAAACGTTGTAAACTTTGTAAGAACTTTGTAAACTTTGTAAATACTTTGTAAACTTTGTAAAAGCTGTGTAAGCTTTGTAGAAACTTTGGTGAAATTCTAAAACTTTGTAAACTTTCAAAACTCTGCAACAACTGTGTAAAGATTGAACAAATTTTGCAAACTTTGTCAAAACTTCGTAAACTGTTGTTAAAATTGTAAACTTTTTAAACGCTGAAACACTTTAAACTTCGTAAACCTTTGTAAAAACTTTGTACACTTTGTAAAACTGTGTAAAAAACTGCGAAAACTTTGTGTAAAAAATTGTAAAATGCGAAAACTTTGTCAAAACTTTGTAAACACTTGTAAACTTTGTCAAAACTTTGTGAACTTTGTCAAAAAGTTTGTAAACATTGCAAACTTTGTACACTTTGTACTAACATTTTGTAAACTTTGTAAACAACTTTTAGATGTTGTAGGCCTTCGTAAACTCTATTTAAAAAGAAGACCGTTATAAACTTCGTAGCACCTTGCAAACTTTGTAAAACGTTTTTAAACTTCGTAAACTTTGTCAAAGCATTGTAAACACTTGTAAACTTTGTCAAAACTTTGAAAACTTTGTAAACACTTTGTAAACTTTGAACACTTTGTAAATTTCCTCAAAACTTTGTACAAAATGTGAAACTGTACAAACTTTGTAAAAACTTTGTAAAATGTAGAAAGAAACTTTGTAAACTTTGCAAATAAATAAACTATCAAAACTTTGTAATCGTTGTCAAAACTTTGTAAACTTTGTCGAAACTCTGTAAACTTTGCAAAACTTCGTAAACTTCGCAAAATCTTTGTGAACTTTCCAAAATCTTCAAAACTTTGCAAACTTTGTAAACACTTTGTAAATTTGTGTAACAAAAGGCAAATGTCGCAAACTTTGTCAGAACGTTGTAAACTTTGTAAAAACTTTGTAAACTTTGTAAAAACTGTGTAAACTATGTAAACTTTGTAAAAACTTTGTAAAACTTTGTAAAGTTCTGTGAAAGAAGTGTTTTTGCACGATTTTTTGCTTGAAAAGAAGTGTTTTTCATGTCATTTGTTGTAAACATAAGTGTTTTTCACCAGCCAATTGCAAACTTTGTAAAAACTTTGTAAACTTTGTAAAAACTTTGCAAACTTGAAAAACTTTTGTAAACTTTGTAACAACTTTGTAAAAACCTTGTAAACTGTGTAAAAACTTTGTAAACTTTGCAAAAACTTTGTAAACTTTGTAAAAACTTTGTAAACTTTGTAAAAACTTTGTAAACTTTGTAAAAACTTTGTAAACACCTTGTAAACTGTGTAAAAACTTTGTAAACTTTGTAAAAACCTTGTAAACTGTGTAAAAACTTTGTAAACTTTGTAAAAACTTTGTAAACTTTGTAAAAACTTTGTAAACTTGAACAAGCTGTTGTAAACTTTGTAAAAACGTTGTACAACTTTGTAAACTTTGTAAAAACTTTGAAAACTTTGTAAACACTTTGTGAGACTTTGTAGACTCTGTAAAAATTGAAAAACTGTGAAAATTCCAAACTTTGCAAGAACTTTGTCAAATTCCAAAGCTTTCTAAAATCGTTGTAAACTTTCAATACTGTGCCAAAACTCTGTAAACGGTATAAACTTTGCAAATTTTGTGAAAGCTTTGTAAACTATGTAAATACTGTGTAAAGTTTGCAAATGTTTGTACACTTTGAAAAAACTCCATGTAAAATTGTAAAATTTGCAATCTTTGTAAAGATTTTATAAACTTTGTACAAGCTTTGTAAACTTTCAAAACTTTGCAAAACCGTGTAAACTTTGTAAAAACTTTGTCAACATTGCAGCAACATTGTAAAACTTTCAATACGTCTTTAATTGATTTTTTAATGGTAAAACCTTTGTAAACTGGGTAAACTTTGGAAATTGTTCAAAACTTTGTAAACTGTGTTAAAATATTGTAAACTTTGTAAAACTTTGTAAACTTGGTAAACGGTTGTAAAACTTTGCAAACTTCATAAAAGCTGTGTAAAACTTTGTAAACTTTGTACCAACTTTGAAAGCTTTGTAAAAACGTAGTGAACTTGGTATAAACTTGGTAAACTTTGTCAACACTTTGTAGACTTTGTAAAACATTTTTAAACTTTGTCAAACTTTGTAAGCTTTGTCAACCTTTAAACTTGTAAAACTGTGTAAGAACTTGGTAAAACTTTATTAAGACGTTGTAAAATTCGCAAACTTTGTAAAAAGGTTTACAAACCTTTTTCGAAGTTTTGGAGTTCTTCAAATTATTCTTCAAAGTTAGAGCAACGTTTTACACAGTTTTTAGAACGTTTACAAAGTTTTCTATTTTTACAAAGTTATACAAAGTTTACAAAACTTTCACAAAGTCTTAAGAATTTGTACAAAGTTTGCAACTTTTGCAAAGAGTTGACAGAGTTGTTGAATTACAAACAAACTTACAAAGGTTTACAACGTCTACAAAGTTTTTACCATGGCCGTTCACTCACCACTCACGAGACAAACAAACCTATGAAATAGTCCTTTGGGTCTCGTATGTTGCCACTAACAACGCAAAAAAAAAAACAAGACGTGTTTTATACCCTCTCTTAGTTCTGAACAACCAATTCTTCAGAGGTCCGCAAGGGTCAAAAACACTTCTTCTGCGCTAATTCCCCCGAAACAACGAACGACGGTCCCCAAGCAACTTAACAAGTATGTAAAATTGCAACACATTGCTATACATATGCTATAAGGATCTACAACACACATATGCATATATATATATATGCTATACAATGTTATACATATACATATACATATATATATATAAGGAACTTTAATGGAACTTAGTTCTTTTGCGACATGGGGTTCTTTGTGCAAGTTCAGGCTCAAGGTGCTCAAGGTTCAAGTACAAGTGAGTTAGCAATGGGACCAACAAAGCGCCCTGCATCTGGCCATGCATTCAAACGGCCAGCTATGAAGAAGCCATGCAGGACTGAGGGGATCTGGATGGAAAGTCATCGGGATAGGAGTGGGATTCAGATGCAGATTCACTTTGGCTACTATTATGGTTCAAGCTGACTCTCACTCGGAGGGTTGATAGTGATTGACTGTTGCGTGTAGACTATACTAGTTGATATGATAGTCTGACAAGTTGTCTGGACAAGCAAACAAGTCAATTTTTGTTGGACTTTATGCAGCGACAACTCGTTGGTAGTGATGCGATTGGCCCATTGTGCGCGCCATGGATGAAGTTGTGTTTTTCCCAGCGTCGGACTCTGATGTGGACAACAAGGATCAGATCGTGGAAAGGCGCAAACAGCAGCGCAATGTACCCGCTGAAGATCTAGTTAAAAAACGCTGCATGTGCAGCAGTGGCAATTGTTTCCAGCAATTTGCTGGGCGGGAAGCAGAGATCACCAAGACTCGTATGTCTTTCCAAAGTCTACAAGGGTTCAGGAGAGAAGCTCATCTTTTGGTCCAGATATTGATTGTTGTTTTCTTGTCTGTAGCAAAGATTTTTTTGTAGTCTTTGTGCACAATTTTTCCTATGAATATTTATTTCTAAGGAACAGCTTATCACAAAGTGGTATGGTTCCATGAAGCCCGAGATCGGAGTCTCACCAGAAGAAGGGTCAGAAATTCTTCCAGTGTCAGACGATGAGAATCAGATGTTTCCTGCCACCCCTTCTGATGGAGATGTCTTCTCTGCAACTCCGAACAGTGCCACGAGTGATGAAAACGCAGAGGAGGTTGCACCACCCCCCACGAAGAAGCGAAGGTACATTCGAGGATCCTCAACCTCTTTAACATTTCTGGATCTGCCAGCCCTTTGCTTGTTAATCAGCACAAGCTTTCAACAGTCAGTTCCTTTTTTTGCAGTAGGTTCTGCTGAATCTCGAAGCCTGTATGCCA